TAATGCCAGGTCTTGTTATAGTAACATACAAGAGCTTTCCTACTAGCCTCTAATAAGTACCAACATCTTGTAAAGCTATGTCTCCTGTGATTCCATTTGCTTTGTCATAATCTACTGAAGTCAATTTTGAATTGACTTCCAATGGTGTGCCTGTAGTTTTAACTCCACTTAATTCCATGTCTGATATTAGTTCTAGCACATATTTCCTCTGATTCAATAGTACTCCTCTCTTAGACCTTAGAACTTCAATTCCCAGAAAATATTTCGATTCTCCTAGATCCTTCACTTTGAAGTTTTGATGCAGTATGTCTTTGGCTTTCTTGATTAGATTTGCACAACTTCCTGTGATGAGGAGATCATCCACATACACAAGAATGACTACTATACCTTCTTGACTCCTCAATGTGAACAATGAGTAGTCATGATAACTTTGTACAAAACCAGCACCCAATAAAGCCTCAGTGAGCTTAATATTCCATTGCCTTGAAGCTTGTTTGAGTCCATATAGTGACTTCATTAGCTTGCACACCTTCTTTTCTCCTGACTTTCTAAAACCTTCAAGTAACTCCATGTACACTTCCTCATATAGATCTCCCTGCAGGAAAGCATTATAAACATCCATCTGGTATAATCCCTAGCCTCTTGAAGCAGCCAATGCAATGACGGTCCTCATAGTGACCATTTTTTTCACTGGTGAGAAGGTGTTATGGTAGTCCAAGCCTTCCCTTTGACTGTATCCTTTTGCAACCAGTCTGGCCTTGAACCTCTCTATGTTTCCATCTTCCTTGTACTTGATTTTATATACCTATTTTGATCCAACAGCATTCTTCCCTGCTGGTAAGTGTACCACCTTCCATGTGTTGTTGTCTTCTAATGCCTTCACTTCTTGTTTCATTGCTTCTATCCACCTACTGTCCTTCACAGCCTCCTTGAATGTCTGTGGTTCAGTCAGCTGAGAAAACTTTGCTATGTAACACTAATAACTTAGAGTAGTCTGATCATAGGCTAAGTAATTTGATATAGAGTAGCTGCAATTTGTGTTTCTTTTGGTCCTTACATAATCTTTCATCCATATTGGTTCCTTGACCTCCCTTGTGGATTTTCTGCCTGGTCCTGAGCTTGTTGCATTGCCCTGGTGCTCACTTGTACTTCCTTCCTAATTTGCGATTGATTCTTCCTATGCATTTTCAGAAAGTCCTTCATCTTCAACTGTAGTTGATCTCCCTTGTGTATTCTCAGGAACTTCTGCAACATCCATCTCCTACATTGTACTCTGCCTATTGTCCTGCGGAGCTACTACTTCCTCCATGGAGTTTGTTTCCTGCAAGTCATTAGTATGTAAAGGAGGAAAAAACAATGGGTTCATTTCTCCCCCACACTCCTGAGTGACTGAGTTGTTCTCATCCTTCTTCGAAAATGGGAACACACACTCTTTAAAAACAACATCCCTATTTGTAAAGAATTTCCTTGTGGATAAGTCAAACAAGATATAGCCTTTCTGAGTTTCAGAATAGCCTATAAGAACAGCTGCTCTGGCCCTTTCTGCAAATTTGTCTGTTTTAACTACATTTGTAGCATAACAAAGACATCCTATGACTCTAAGGTGTGCAAGACTGGGTTCCTTGCCATACAGGACCTCATATGGAGTCTTGCCCCCTAGAACACTTGATGGTAGTCTGTTTATCAAGTAGACAGCTGCCTTGACACACATTCCCCAATATTTGATTGGAACTGAGCCCTCAAACCTTAAGGCTCGTGCAGTATCAAGTATGTGCCTATGCTTCATCTCCGCTATTCCATTTTGCTGTGGAGTATAGGGGCAGCTGCTCTAATGGATGATACCCAGGTCATTCAACAACTCTGCACATTCCTTGTTGAAGAACTCTGTCCCATTATCTGACCTTATCACCTTAACCATAATTCCAAACTGATTCCTAACCATGGTCAAGAACTGTTTTATTGCTACTATGGCTTCAAATTTTAACTGCAGAAAAATATCCATGTTAAATATTGCTTTCTATCAAAAGTAGCAACTTTATAAGGTCCCCACAAATCCATATGCACAAAATGAAACAACATATCTGCTCTAGAATCATTTAATGGAAATTTCAGTCTAGTTTGTTTTGTCAAGGGACATATAAGGCATCTATCTTGTAGCACGTTGCTAACTTTATTATGTAGACCTTCTATATGTTTCATTACTGACAAGGAAGGATGTCCTAATCTCTTGTGCCACAAGACACAAGAGCCTTTAGTCATCCCGCTCACAGTATTGAAAGTCCTTATTCTACTAGTTAATCTTCCACCTTTGAGTAGATATAGACCTCCTCTTTCTCTACCAATCCCCTTCACCTTGCCATTCCAAAGATCCTGAAATACACAAAAGTCAGGAAAGAAGTTTGCATTACAATTCAGCTCCCTAGTTAGCTTTGATACTGATGGTAGGTTAAACTTGAAGTTTGGAACATAAAGCACATCTCTGATTGTCCTCTTATCTAATAAGGTTGCACTACCAGTATGAGTAATGGCAGCCTTTTCCCCAGTAGGAAGATGTACTCTATCCTTGTTTCTCTTTCCTGTGCATTTAGTATCTGTTAATAATTCTATATCAGAGGAAATGTGGTGTGTGGGACCTGAGTCTATAATCCATTCCTTGTTCTTTTGGTTTTGCATACAACTAGCCATTAGACAACTGATTATACCTGTACCTGCACTTGTACTTGTCATGTTGGCATGGTGCTCTTCAGGTTCCTTGTTCAGCAGGTTCAGTATCTGATTATACTGGTCATCTGTAAAGTAGTGGTATCCCCTGGTTGTCTCAGTAGCTCTAAATGCATTATCTCTACTTCCTTGCACACATGATGAGGGCACATCTGCATTATTGATAATTCCCATGGGCTCTCTTCTCCAACCACCCTGCTTACCAGCTGCATTCCATCCTCCTGACTTTCCAGCATTAGGATTCTATTGCCAACCTCATGCATTCTTCACACCTTCACCATATCTCTTCTTTGGGACAAGACAGCAGGGTAACCTATAATTTTTGTAATAGTTATCTTTGGTATGCCCCTTCAAATGGCAGAACTCACATTGAAGAAATTGCTTCTTCCCCCTCCTCTTCCTGCCAGCATAGCTAGGGGTTCCATCTTATCTGTTATCAGATTTGCACCAATTGTCTGTTGGCTTTCATCTTGAATAATCATAGCATAGGTTTGATTGAGAGATGGAGCATTAGTTTTCATTAGAATCTGTCACCTTGCTTGATCATATGAATCATTTAATCCAGATAGAAACTGCATAACTCTCTGCTGATGCAATTGCTCCGCATGATCCTTCGATTTTTCACAGTAATTTGGGAAAGGAACTAAAACATCATACTCATGACAAAGTTCCTTCAATTTTGAAAAATACACAGACACAGAACTAGTTCCCTGTGCTAAAGTTGTAATTTCGCGATGTAGTTGAAAAATTCTTACACGATTCAGTTTGTTGAATCTTTCGCGCAAATCCTCCCACACTAGGTGTGCATCTGATGCATACATAACTCCACCTAACAATTCTAGTGCGACATCGTTCATGATCCACGATAGAACAATGGCATTGCATGTTTTCCACTGTTCCAGTAACTCTCCTTCATACGCATCCTTTTTGCATGTTCCAGTAACAAAACCTAGTTTCTTCTTCCCCAAAAGAGCGATCCGCATCGACCTACTCCATAACCCATATTTCTCTGAGCCTGTAAACTTAACCGGAACTACAACTGAGCTAGGTGTGTCGGAAGGACCAATATAAAGAGGATGACTATGATCGATCAACACAGTTTCCGCCATGGATGAATCTATGTCTCCCATTGGCAACTTGCAATCGAACTTCGAGTAATTAAGAAATCAGAGATTGAGAACAGTAATTGAAAATCAGAGATCAGCATGGTATGATCCAGGCATGCCGCTCTGATACCATGTCAAATTGTAAGAATTCCTTGAGTTCGTTAATGGAGGAAAGTTCTAGAAACGGTTTCTATTATTGAAGGAAAATGAGAGACTGTGCAAGTCTAAGCTCTGCACTCTCATACACAATCGATATATACAAGAAGAAGAAGAGAAGAGCTGAAAAGACTAAAGTACCCTTAACTTACTTACAACAACTAACAACCTATTAACAACCTTCTTAACTAACTAACTACCCACGTGACTCTTACATGATTGTATCATAACACCCTCATTAATGGGGAAAGTAATCGCTTGAGGAATGTCAATTGTAGGACAAGTTGGAGGAACCACATACTGATTGGTATAAACTAAACTTTAATTTGATGGAGCTTACAAGCAAAATACCGTCGGTTTAGGTGGAGTTGTTCGAGACCACAACGGGCATTGGCTCATGGGCTTCAATATTAGGGTGCAAGCTATATCTTGTATCCATGCCGAACTACTAGCACTCAATCAAAGTTTGGAATTTGCCTTGGAAAAAATCTTTTTTCCCATTTGAAATTGAAACAGACTCACCTAGGTAATAAACCTGTTAGAAAATGGACAACATGCTTATAATTTTCTGATAAATAATTGCAGGTAGTTGATATTTCCGAAGGAGGAGGAGCTAGTGGTCCGGCATAATTTTCGTCAAGAGAAAGAAGTAGCTCACCTGCTGGCAAAGAAAGCAACCAAGTATGCTACCCTAAATAAGTTCAACCTTTTGTTTTCCCTCCACCTTTGTTGGACCCAGGATGCTGGCAGATAAGGATGGAGTTTCTTTTTGTATGAATACAGTGTTAGCAAGCACTTGTACCTAAAGAGGGATTCCACGCATGTCAAGTTGGTATTGGGGAATAAAGTTTGGTGCTTGTTTTAATGCATAAGAACAAAAGAAGATAACCTTGAAATATATATGCGCCACTTTATAACTTCTATATCATAAATGGGAATGAGATGCCTTTCTTATCTTATTAGAATCCTCTAGTCTATTACTCCATATTATATACATTCCTCAAGTCGTGATATGCCCAAAACTCTATAAATATAGCTCAGCTAAGATTACATTCTCACCAAGCAAAAACTCAAAACTTCACCATCTTTAGGAGTAGCATCAATATTCAAGATGGTTCTCCAAACTCAACTTGGGTTGAACAAGCACCAATCCTACGCTCACGAGCAAAACTGCTATTCCGACAGCAGCATTGGCGGCTCTATGCAAATGACAAGGCCTTCGGACTATTCCACCATGCCATATGGTCAGTCCACTCACAATCACATGATGATGGGTCATGGTGGCCAACACCATAGCGGTCATGGCCATGGCGGACATTATGGTAGTCATGGACATCACGGGTCGCATATGCCCCATGACTCCACCAACTTTTCAAGCAACACCAGTATGGTCCATAATGATGGTGGCTATGGTAGTGGAATGCAACAATCTGCCCATATGTCGTCAGCCATGGGCATGGGGTCGACGAATTATCATGGTCATGGTTACGGTGGCAACCACCCTAGTCAGTACGGCCAGAGCCAGAAGTTCAACTGGGCTCTTAAGGATTTGGAGGAATAAATTTACGACAAATTTGATGATATCATGTATGGTGAAAGTATGTGTGTCTTTTGGTAGTGTCTTTGGCTATTTATATATAGCATAAAGAACTACTACCTAAATAAGTAATGTAATAAACGATCTGCTGCTTTACTTGAATATCTATGTATCTGCTTTATCATTACTAAAATGATGAATAATTATAAGTATGTTTATCACTGAAATGATTTGTGCGATTTTACTTAAAAGAATCGACATTCCATTGGTATTTCATGAGTGAAAATACACCATGAGTAATAGCATTTTAGGAGTCCATTACTCAAATGGTCACTCAACTATCCCAAATTATCTCTTAAAGTCACTTTTCTTTCATTTGTAACAACAAAGTCACTGAACTATGCATATTGCACTCAGAAGGTTACTCAACTAGATTTTCCAATTTTTGGAGTGTCAAATACCTATTTTACCCTCTAAATTATAAACATTTATCTTCTTTTTATTTTTTTAAAACTTTTTAATATTATGATTTTCCCTTTTTAATTTACATTATGGACTTGCCTAGAATAAATAAATATTATTTATAAATTAAAAAAATAAAAAATATTTAAGCATATATAATGCCGGAATAACAAAATAATGAGCATAGTAAAAAAAATAATTCGAATAATTTATTAGTAATAATAATTTTAATATTAACAACAAAAATTCAAAAATTTATTTACACAATTTAGAATGAAAGAAAATAAAGGTTGTAAATATATATTCCATGCACAAAATAAAAAAAATAATTATTTAAATAAAAATATATTTATGATATACATTATATATTCTTGAAAATCATGCTCAATTATATTATATATATTCCATGCACGACATGGAATTAGAACCAAATTTTCTGAGATTGGACTACGGAGAGCACGCTTCCGTTTTTGATGAACTTATATCTAGTTTTCTTGGGCTGTGATTTGGCTTGCCCGCCGGCGAAGATTGGACGAATTTGGCCGGAGAATTTTTTGACGAGGAGACCCATCGGTGTTGATTGCTACCCGACCATTCTTCAGAGATCAAACTGAAAGTTAACAATTTATGTTTGCCTTGAAGCCGTGCGCGGCGGCGAGGTCGTTCGTGAATCTATCTCGGCCAGACAGATACAATTTCTCTGTCTAGAAATCACAATTTTTTATTAAAAAGATGAGATGCAGCATTAAGCCGACATTTACAAGAGTATATAACAACAACATCGCTTTAACTCTAAGCAAGTTAGAATCGGCTATATGAATCATCACGCAGCTTATCGATCTATTTAAGATCTTCTCAAAAGAATCTTGTAGAGATAAGCTAGTTTAAATTCCTTTTTCTTCCCCGAGAGAAATTAATATCTGTAGAAACATAAATTTGTCCAATTTCAATATAACTATATTTATATCTATATTATATTAAAGTATGAAGACCCCATCAAAATAACATTCGCCTTTTTTAACCCTTTAAAAATGGAGTTCACATTAGATAAAATTATAATTGTAATATAGTAATTATTTTCCTTATATTAATGAATTTAAAATTAACTAAATTTTATTTATTAAATTTTTCTTTATTTGCACCAGGTAAAATCTCCTAACATTTAGGAATCTAAAATTGAATAAGATTTTATTATACATTTTTCCTTATTAAAATTTTGTAACTATTTTTCTTAAATCTAACTCCTTCATGTTTCTATTAATAAAATTCATAGAGTTAGCGTTGTTTATCAGCTTCTTCTCTTGAATATCCAACGAGATTGGAGTTAAATCATAGCACTATATGTAAAAGAAAACAAAAAAGAAAAAAAGGTTTTGGACACGTTAAGAATTGTAATGTAATGAAAACATTTTTTTCAAGTTTTTGTCTTCATCTTAATTTTGCGGGATTAAACACCTAAGCATTATTAAACATGTTATAAAACAATAAGAGAAGAAGAACAGTATTGCAAAGAAAGTAGGGGGAGAGAATTCTTATTGATTTTGGGATGAATTACAATGGAATAGAACCCTCTATTTATAGGGAGAGTGTGACTTAGCCACCAAGCAATGAACCCTAGAATCTCTCTAAATATAGACATTCACCATAAATAGAACTCTATTTATAACACTCCCCCTTGAATGTCTATTCAACAAATAATGTGCCTCGTTAAAACCTTAACTAAAATAAAACCCAGTGGGAAAAAAATTCTAGAAAAGGAAAAAGAGTACACATATCTAATAATACGCCTTTTGGTTGCCTCGTTAAAAACCTTGCAAGGAAATCCCAGTGGGACAAAATCTTGTAAGGGAAAAAGAGTACAACGCGTATTAACTCCCCCTGATGAGAGCATCAATTCACATCCTTAAGCATTTGCATTCCAATCTTGTGCACCATCTTCAAAAGATCTTTGGAAGAGATTTGATGAACAAATCAGCCATATTAACTTGAATGAATGCATTGCACCTTGAATCATCATTCTTGATAGAGATGAATTGTTTTCATATGATCTTGTTGGAATCATCATTTCAATATCTTCACATAGAGGTGAAAACTCTTGCTATCATATTATCATGCATATAGTTATAGCAAGATACATTTGTGCACAAATTGCACTGAGGAAGTGGTACTTCAAGATCAAGAATTGTATATGCTTCAAGCAAATTAAATCCTTCATGGATTGTCACATAAGTTAAGTCATATAAGCCATATAGTAGACGTTAGATGCATATAAAATTTTCATGACATATAAGATATCGAAAACTGATTGCACATACCATTGACTTTATACTTTCAAGTGTTTGAACTGCAGGTCCAAAACTATATATCTTTCGTATGAAACAAATTCTATTCGAATTGTGCCTCTTTCATTTGGCCAATATTTTTGTGTCTATATTCGGCAGACTTAAGATCCTCATCTATACTTAGCGCTATCGGTTCCAACCTCCTTATTTTTCATAAAGACATAACATAGAGATCTCTTCATTCATATATTCAGGTACCTGAATCTCTCATCAGACTTCATGAAGTGTTATGTCATGTGATCTTCTAGATCACTTGCCTCCTTTTGTTATGATCATTTAGATCATTTGCTCATCTTCTTTATCAAGAAGTTTATTTGAAACCGATTTGTCTATATGCTTTAAGTGTACTATAGACTTTATCCTTCTAGGACTTATTCTAATAGGAGCATTTGCAATGAGAATATAGTTACTTTCTTTGGGTCAGCAAATGCGTCTGGCATGCTTTGCAATAAATTGCACATAAATTATCCTTTTATGAACTTCAAGCTCATATTATCTTATTCGAGGATCTATATGAACAAATGATAATTCAATCCACGTAACGTTTTCTCAACTGTTTATCATGTCTCCCCCTCATGTTAGAAAAACTAACTTGTTTCCTCAACTTTGAGAACTCATCTTTGTGCTTTATGGTGTTAATCAAAATATACACCGCACATCAATAATAATAAGATGGAATTATTTGGTTCCTGACCCTGAACCACTTGTGAGGGGAGAATGTAATATACTTTCGTATATAATCTATATCAAACTGATATAGATAACTTTGTTCTCATAAGCAATAGTTTAGCTATTAAGTGGAGGCACTCAATAAATCATTTTGCTAAACCAACTGTGATGTAAACCAACTTATCAAGAAGAACTATCTTGAATAAAAAAATCTGGAAATTATGCTCTATATTAAATTATTGAGCAAGTTACCTCGCAAACACCAGGTTGCGGGTCAATAATAATTGCACATGCAACCATCTCATAGATGCATCTTATGTGGTATACATGGCAGGTGAATGGGCCCATATTCACCTTTGATATTTCCAGCATTCATGGGATTCAATCCCAATTTTAATTGGTCTATTAATTAATGAGAACAAGCAATGTAAGAGAATTCGTAAAGAACTTTCTAGTTCTTTAATATTTATCCATGTGAATTCTCTTTTATTTTTGCACATCATACTTGAGTTAACATGGCTAACCAATTATGCCAACTGGATAAATTATCAATATTGATAAACTTCAGGTTACACCATGATGTGTGCAATTATGAATAAACTCCAAGTTTATTATGATATGGGTTTTTATATCAATAAATATCCACTTCATTATGGTATTCTTTTGTTTATGTAGTACAAATTGGAGAATAAAGCGGGTAGCTTTTCACATATATATTACCCCGCTACAAGTTGTAGTAATAGAAGATATTAAATCTTTCCTTTATTTATAGTCTCAATATAATCAACCGCTTTCGCGTATACTTTGGAAACTGAATAAGTTTCTTTGAGACTTACTACAACACAATACCTTATTGGTGATTAATTGTGTTTCTCCAAAATAGTATAATTGGCTCTTGCAGAGTTCTCAATTAATTTTTTACTACCACATATTCATCAACATCCATATGGTGAATATCTCTTTTGAAGAGAAAGTTATACCATTATGGTTATGGTCAAAATTATATGCAAGATATGTTTCTTGCATTAATGTTATTCTTTAATAATCACATTACCAAAATATTTTGGCGTACAATAGGTACGTGATCAATGACCATTCATGACATAATAATGACATTGTTTTCTTATATCATCTCAAACCTCCCTCTAGAGGTGAGTGTGGTATATTCACTACCACTAGCACGTTCATATTCTTCCAAGAATGAATATGTATTCATAAATAAGATGTTGTCACATTCACATCATGAATGGACCATAATCATCTATATGTGCTTTATAAAATCTCATGTCAAATCGATGTCAAATATTACTTTCACAGAGTGAAGGATTATTTTGAGAATCCTTATTATTCTCATTATCACAATGATGGCGATTATAGTTTCGTCTATTGCCACGTCCACATCCATTGATACCTTCACGGTAATAATTTTGTCTTCTTTCAGACTTATCACATATTGCTATCAGATTCTCTTAAGGGAATGAGAATGGAGCAAATTCAATGGGACGGGTTTTCACTTCTTGTGCTCACGATCATACATGACTTTGATCATGGCAAGACATAGAAATTTTACCACTTCGGGTGGTTATATTTCTTACAAACTCCACTAGAGTTGTAATCAAAATTTATTGTCTTTGCTTGTATATAAAATCAAATTATAGAATAAAAGAGAAAAATACGGTAAAATACTTACCTTAAATCCAGAATTTAAGCATGAAGGAAATTCATAGAACAATTGACAATCATTGTGATCAATC